CAAATGCATTTATATTAAAAATATGACAGACATGACAAAAATAGCTGAAATGTTTTGACCAAAGGGTCATGCCATAATATTTGTGTAGTCCCATCATATACTCATTTCTGTGTGCAGTTTATGTGGTTTTCATTAAGATTGAGTAGATTTGTTATCAATTCCGAAACCTCACAGTATACACCAACTACACTACATAACGAACTGGAGCCTGGTGAAAAATATTGTTACCTCTGATATTTTTACTTCTTAACATTTTTTTTTATACCTATTCAATCGACCATTCACAAGTCGCTTCCACAATCCAGACAGCTACTTTCACAATAAATTTGAATGATAATTAATTCATGAATATTCATCATACCGCTGTTCTTTTCCAGCTCTTCCAAACATCTACCAAAGATTTTACTTTATCCTAATCTTAGAAATAATCCAGGCCAATATAAAATAATTGTACCTTTTGATCACTATTGTGATACAAGTTTTAACTCATCACTAAAGTATAAAGTAAATGTCGATCTTTATCAGTCCCTCGATTAGGTATTTCTCAGGAAATTATTTGTTACTAACCATATTTTATCATGTTGAATCCTTTGATATATAATTCTTAAATTCAATTTGCAATTTAAGATCATACTTTTAGGGATCATTTCTATAGTATGTATCGTTCTCTTACGACACTCTAGTGTCCCCACACCTAACCACGATGAAGAGTCGTAGCGTTTCCCTCTGAGCGCGAAGCGGACTTTGAGTGTTATCTTCTCGATAACTCGCTCGTCGTCATTGATGACCGTTCCTCTTCTTCCTTTGCGAGGAAAAGGAGGAGGGAAACGCATTCTGAGTGGTTAGATTTTTTGTATTGAAATGAAAAGTAAGATAGCACATTGCAAGACAAAATGTGAGAGAAATTTTCATCGTGAAGACCAAATGGTCGATTACAAACGGTACAGAAAGGAATTTCCAGAGAGCTTTCTATTTTAAATGAGGAATATGATACAAGACATATTGAGTTGGAAAACAATTCATATCATCAGCCGTTCATTACATTTATGAAATATTCAATTTTATGTACGTTTGTTACGGAATGACAGGTTATTGTTTATTCTGTAACAAAGCTATTTAAATTTCAATATTGTATACACTTGAGGAATGGTTGATTGGAAACTCAACGTTCTGAGAGAACCTCATATAAGTTTGTCTCTTATATCATGATATCGAAAATTTTTAGCAGAATGTCTAAATGTTTCAAAATGGAAAATTCTCTGGAATGTTTTCCCGTTACACTTGGAATTGACAAAAGGCAACCCATTATGGCGACTACCAATTTGCTTCCAACGACAGTCTGCATGTCTTTAATTGTTAAAATATTTTAAATGAAGGTTGAGTCGTGGTAAAAAGTGAAAAATAGTGGGCGAAGCGGGGCGGGGGGGGGGGGGGGTGGGTGTTTTGACGAATATTCATACAAATTGTTTAGGACAACAATACAGGCTCACAAGAGGTGAAATATCTTTTTTGTTATAAAGGAAACTCACGTGGATAATAAAGAAATGCAAGAATGGACGAGAAACGAAACGCTCACAATGCAATATGTTTGCCTAATTTTGTTTTTCTGTAGGGCCTAAGAAGTTTAAGATAAAATCTTTGGACCCCTACTTTTGTTTACTAAAATGATAAACCCTATTCGTAACATAAGAGTCCTTGTCTAAACAATTAATAATATTGCCTCACAATCTGATTAATAAATCAACTTATTCATATGTTTTAAAAGAAGAGAGAAAGTTAATATGATGTGAAAACGATAAACCAATCTGGGGCGACACCCCTCCCTCATAGCCTACAATAAATGTATTTGTATGATTTATTCGTAGGAACCAGCACGGCGGAAATGCGGGCGGAACGAGGAACCCTCCCCGAGATATTTGAAGCCTCCAGTCTCCATGCTACCATGAAAGATGATACGGCCAAGATATTCCATTCAGACAAGACAAATATAGACTCCTTTAAAGCAGGAATAGAGTACCCTACATCGGCCTCAACACAGGTAAGATCAAGCAATCTTCCAGACATTTTTCTCTTTGTTTAGGGTGGGGGCAGGGAGTGGAGTAGTCGGACGTACCCAGGTCGAAAACCAGTAGGAAACTCGCCAACTGGTACCAGTTAAAACCAGTAGTCAACTGGTACCAGTTGAAACCAGCATATTCAAATGGTTTTAAATATGGAAATCGAAACACCGCTAACTGAGACCCCGGACTAGGACCAAGTGAAAAACCAGTTGACAACTTCCTTACAAATACTATTGGTCTGATTCATTTTAAACTTTTGCCATTCTGTTTCTGTTATTTGTTTGCTTTCATACAAATCAACTTATTACAAGGTTGGATTGCCCTTAAGAAGGAACTTCGATTTTGTATGATCGCGGGGTACGATAGTCAAATTACATCAATTCCATTATTACCTACCTCTGTCTGGAGTATTCTGTGTGACGGCCGTTTGCAAATCCCCAAATGGTCCCTGAATGGTACCCGAATGATACCCGAACGATCCCCGAATTGTCCCCGAATAGTCCCCGATGGTCCCGAATGGTCGCCAAATGGTCCCCGAATGGTCTCGAATGGTCGCCAAATGATCTCCAAATGGTCCTATTCAATGATGAGGGAATACCTCATATCATTTCTATTTTCATTTTCATTCTATAGCTCTTCCTTGTGACGAGGAGAACGTACCAGACCACGATGCGGAACCCCGTCATCATGGCCGTTTCTGTAAGTCAGTGATCATGATCGCGGATGTCGATGATTAACGGGGGGGGGGGGGGGGGGGGGGGCAGTGAAGTAAACGTACCCACCCATGAAAAATAATGTGCTAACTTGAATAACCTTAATACACACGTAAATGTGGCTTGTGTACACTCCTGCCCCTTTTTCCAGACGGATTTTTTTCCCTTGGTGTCGTTTTTCCTTGATCTTTTCTTGATTATCAGATATTGTTCACGTATGTTCATCCCACTGTAATGTGATGACCTGTTCTTCTAAATGAGCAAGTGCCCCCTCCTGGGGGGGGGGGGGGGAGGGGGGGGGGGTATACAATCGCTGATCAATATATATTTATTTTATCACGAGGGGGCACCTCCTGAAAAGCAGACCTTTGCCACCAGTAATGCTGCGGGGGGAGGGGTGGGCACACGATGACATAAAAATGATAAAGAAGTATACTTATTTTCTATGACTCTCTCTCCCTCTCCCCTTCTCTCTCTCTCTCTTTGACTCCCTCCTTCCCTCTCTTTTGGGAATGTATTTAGAAGTGCGTCATGCGTCAACCAAGTGTATTCTTGATACAACGGGGAACATATTAGTATTAACTACGTGTTGGTCTATTATATTCATAATATTAATAATAATAACAAAAAAAACGGTGCTTATAAAGCGCTTACCACCAAAGTATTTAAGCACTATAACAAACAAATTACAGCGATAAACAATTAAATATTAAACGAAACAAATACATACAAATAAACCTACAAATTACAATACATAATATACACTCGATAAATATATACTCGTAAATACGTCTTTTTTGCAGTATATTGTCCTGGCTGTATTCTCCCTCCTTGTTGGACTCCTCTATTTTGATATGGATCTCACTACGTCATCGGGTATTCAAAACAGGTATGTAGTCTCTCAGCTAGTCAAGGGCGTCACGAAAGAACAAAAATGTCCGCGAAAGGGGGGGGGGGGGCAGTGGGGGTTCGGGAACATTTTGTCGAAATTTTGGCGAATATACAGAAAGACAATATATTTAGATATACAAAGGAACAGAAACAAATAAGGAGAGAAACAAAAGAGAAAGAAAGAAAGAAAGAGAGAAAGAGTCAGTCAAATGGAGAGAGAGAGAGAGACAGTCAGAAAGAGAGAGAATGAGAGAGAGAGAGAAAGAGAGAGAGAGAGAGAGAGAGAGAGAGAGAGAGAGAGAGAGAAGAACAAAAAAGGGAGAGAGAGAGTATTGAATAAATATTAAATAGCATCAGCATCAATTTAAAGATAGATGAAAACTAAATGAAAGTTTGTTTCCTGATCAGAATTAAAGATGTCCACTGATTGTATATTACGTAACTGCATGGAATTATGTTACCTTCGTTCATTTATTTATTTCTGATTATATAGAGTTGGAGCCACGTTCTTTATCGTCATGAACATGGTGTTTTCAAACATCAACTCCATCGAAGTTTTCATTCATGAGCGAGCGATGTTCATGTGAGTTTCATTCACGATTACTTTTTTTTAATATGATGACTTGCAGACTTGTATCACTAATTGTAGAAGTGTCGTAGTCGAGTGGATTAATCACGTGACTTCAAATGCAAAGGTCGTGGGTTCGAGCCCCGGCACAGCACTTATGTCCTTGAGCAAGGCATGTTATCTATGTTGAGAACTAGGTTGCGAACGTCATTGTGGTTGGATTAGCACCTAAGGGCACCTCTCAGATGTAAATATGCCAATTATCAGAGGTGAAGGGGGCGCTTATCAAAAGTGAAAAGAGGCGCTTTTTGTACCCGAAAGGGGCACTTACTAGAGATTAAAAGGGGGCACTTATGAGAATGAAAAATGGACACTTATTGCAAAGGAAAATGGGAACTTGTCGGAGGAAATCGGGTACGTGTCAAAATAAAGGGGGCACTTGTCAAAGTAAAAGGGGCACTTTTCCTATGTAAAAAGGGGCACTTCTTACAAAGTTAAAGGGGCACTTTTGGGGCAGGGGCACTGTGCCCCCTGCCCCCAGGAGCGCAACCTCTGCTGGAGAGCAAACTTGAAGCTTCATATCAAATACTCCATAACAATATATCATGAATGCGTCGGTCGGAAGTCGTATATGCCATGTATGCCAATTAAATGCCATTGATTCAATTCTGTAGGCCATAGTATCATTAACAATCAAACCAATGTTTCGATTTTATGACGTCACAGACACGAGACGGCGAGTGGGTTCTACCGAGTGTCTGCCTACTT